ATCAACATAATATCTCAAATACAGCAATGGAAAGACTGCATCAGCTACTTATCTTGCTATTTTAAAATTCCACTTGGCAATGTAGGGAGGCAATGTTTACAAATGTAACTGAAATTTGAACTTAACACATCAAACAAGGCATTCTGGAAAGAGTGAGCTTAGATACATGGCGCTTTAAAAAGCCCTCACTGAATTAGATACCCTAGTTACTGTATTTGAAAACTGTCTTTAGATAAAAAAAACACACAAACTGACTCAGGAATCCATTCAACCAAGAAGACCAGAACTTGATTTTCTTAGGTATCTCTACCGTGCCTGGCACATACTAGATACTCTGAATAAACAGTAACTGAAGGAGCCTATAGGTTATACCTTTTTGGTAGCACCAACTTTTTTAAAAGCAGGAAATAAACAAGGGCAGATGGTTGTGGTTGTTGCAACTTGCCTTTCCAACTGAGGAGGCACCCCCTGCCCTCCTGCTCACAGGTTAAAAATTTCGTTGAGGACGGGCCCACATTTTGGCGATCTGTGAATTGAAAAAAGTCATTCAATTTCAGAACTAGTCAGACCAGAAAAGGCGGGGGGGAACGCGGGTGCTGTTAGTTATACACTATATATAGATACATATTTTTTTTCTTTTTTTTTTTTTTCCTTGGTTTTTCTCTGGTACCAGGAACCGAACTCACGACCTTGCGCTTGCCAGGCAGGCGCTTTGCCGCTGAGCTAAATCTCCAGCCCCTAGATACATATTTTATATAGGAAATCATAACTACTTTACATATATGGTAAATATATGTATATTTTTGCTTATACCAAAGGGTTTTGGTGCAAACGTTTCCTGCCTGTAAAACTGGATAAATCACTCTACTCGTGTATTTTTATATGAAAAAGGATAACTCTTTCCTAGAAGTCGTGTCTCTGCACCAGCCAGCCCCCGCCCCCGGAAGGATGAGTAAATTATAAACCGCTGACATGTAATGGCCATGCCATATTTGTGCAATGAAAGTTTCATGTCAATTCAACGCCAGACCGTCGGGTAGAAAAGCCTTGAGCCTCAAACTGAATAAAAATGACCATGTCCTCCAGTCCGGGGCAGTCTCTCCCACCTCTTTCTCTTCCCCACCACGCCTATCAGGCTGGTGCGGGGCCCAGCCGTCGACGGGAGGGTCCGGCTCGGGCGAGGGGTCGCCCCACGGCTGCCTTGAACCTGGGTCGTCCGGCTGCGGGGCCTGGGTCTCCGGGGCCACAGCCGGCGCCTGACCTCCGACAGCCTCGCCCATCCGGGGCAAACCCGCGATCGGGGTCTCGGCGGGGCACTCCTACCTACTCTCGGGAGTCGGGTCCCGAGGCTTTTCCCGCCAGCAGGGGGAAGTGTTCAAGACCGGGCGCCCGGGTGCGCGAAGCCGGAAGGCCCGCGGGGCCGCGGGAGGGCGGGCGCCGGAGCGTGAAGCACAAGGCGCGCGCTCCCGCGAACGCAGGCGCGAGGCTG